AATCTCGCATCACGGTTTTTACCCGGTGATTGGTAGTCCAGATTGTCTATTCTTCGGTAAGGTTTTTCATTCCAAACAGAGGCATGTCGCCCCAACTTCTGTTTTTGCAAGTACTGTTGGTCTCGTACGACCAGAAGCATACCAATAAATGAATTAAGAAGGGTAACGTGAGGATTTTCGTATAATGAAATCTAATTTCCCCAGTGGAGCTATTCTTCCTTCCCTAGTGGAGCAAGTGTCATATCTCTCTGGTGAGGTGTACAGGAGAATTCCAGTCATAACTCTTTCGTTACCAGTGGTAGAAGATTTTGTTGAGATATCCCCAATGGAGTTTTTAGCCCAGAATGTTCATTTCTTCCCCGAATAAGGATCTTTTACCTCCCAGCAATGTTATCCCCAGGGTGGTCTGAGTAGAATTATTTTTATTTAAGAATTTCTATACTCCCCAACAGAAGTCATCTTCGTCAAAGAATTTCTATGCCAGAAGTTTCCATTCCCAGCAAAGCCCTTCTCTTCACCAATAGAGGATAAAGAATTTATTCCCCATGAAGTGGGGAGTTTGATCAGAATTCAAGATTTTCTCTGAACTACAATTTACGTTTGCAATATTCTTCCCAAGAAGTTACTTCCCCAGTGATATCAATCGTTCGAGGTTGATGGTTCCGGGTCTCGGTGCCCCATTGAAGTTCATTTTGCCTTTTCTCTACCAGAAGATCGGATGTGCAAGAATAATCATTCGAAAGTTCATTGTCTTCTCAGCATCCGATTATTGATATGTTTTCCAGTGCATTATTAAACATGCATCATTACATTGTATCATTACATCGCATCTACTAAAACGCGTAGCATTTCCATTATATGGAGCATTATGCTATAAAAAATTCAAACATGCATGAGTATAAGCCAATTATGTTTACTTGCAGTAACCAGATTTGTTATGCGCTCAGATTTGATTTGCCTCCACAATAAGCCTAGGGTAATTCTATTATGTTTCCCCAGTGGAGTTTGTTTTGATTCACCACCAGTCGGGTCTTTGGTATTTCTCCATTTCCCCAGTAAGTTTGTGGTTTGCGCTTGCCTTTGCAAGCCTTTTGTTGTTTTACCCATGTTTTCTTTGTCGTTAGAGTGTGAGTAAGAGTCGGTGTATAACCTTTCTTGTTTCTCAAATATTTGCGTATCCATACTTGGTGTGTAGTAACTCAGATAATTGTCACTCTTGAAGAATCACACCTCGCCTTTGGCCTGAGGGATTTTGTAGTTCTCGCATATTTGCAACCTATCGAAAGCCCAACGTATTTTGGCAATCTTTGTTAGAGTCTGCTTTGACTAGTCTCTTTCTCTTGTAGAGTTCACCTTCGATCGGTTCTCCTTGAAGGTCCTGCTTAGTCGGTTCCTTGTTTTGGTTTATCCGCGTTAGTCAGGCCCTCCTTTCGTTAGCCTAGCTAACTTTTTATGATTAAGAGTCTTTCAGTGTCTCTTCAAAGTCCAATTGTCTGGCATCCTTGTTTAGGAAAATGCGTCCTTTTTATTGGGGCTTTCTTCGGTTAGTCTCGTTCCTGTGTTCACTATCAACTCTAAATATTTGTTTCTTGATGCTCAATTTCACTCTTGTGTATCTAACTCTGACTAGATATGCATACCTTTATCCTTCAAAACCCCGCTTCGGCTGGTATCCTTTGTTAAAACCCCGCTTCGGCTGGTATCCTTTGTTAAAATCCCGCTCCGGCAGGTATCCTTTAAAACCCCGCTTCGGCTGGTATCCTTTGTTAAAATCCCGCTCCGGCAGGTATCCTTTAAAACCCCGCTTCGGCTGGTACCCTTTGTTAAAATCCTGCTCCGGCAGGTATCCTTTAAAACCCCGCTTCGGCTGGTACCCTTTGTTAAAATCCCGCTCCGGCAGGTATCCTTTAAAACCCTGCTTCGGCTGGTACCCTTTGTTAAAATCCCGCTCTGGCAGGTATCCTTTAAAACCCCGCTTCGGCTGGTACCCTTTGTTAAAATCCCGCTCCGGCAGGTATCCTTTAAAACCCCGCTTCGGCTGGTACCCTTTATTAAAATCCCGCTCCAGCAGGTATCCTTTAAAACCCCGCTTCGGCTGGTACCCTTTGTTAAAATCCCGCTCCGGCAGGTATCCTTTAAAACCCCGCTTCGGCTGGTACCCTTTGTTAAAATCCCGCTCCGGCAGGTATCCTTTAAAACCCCACTTCGACTGGTACCCTTTGTTAAAATCCCACTCGGGCAGGTATCCTTTAAAACCCCACTTCGGCTGGTACCCTTTGTTAAAATCCCGCTCCGGCAGGTATCCTTTAAAACCCCGCTTCAGCTGGTACCCTTTGTTAAAATCCCGCTCCGGCAGGTATCCTTTAAAACCCTGCTTCGGCTTGTACCCTTTGTTAAAATCCCGCTCCGGCAGGTATCCTTTAAAACCCCGCTTCGGCTGGTACCCTTTATTAAAATCCCTCTTCGGCTGGTATCCTTTGTTAAAATCCACCTTCGGATGGTATCATTCGTTGAGAGTCCCCTTCGGCTGGTCTCTTTTCAGTTGTAAGTTCGCCTTTGACCGGCGTTCTTTTCTTAGGAATCTACCTTCGGCATAGTATTCCTTGATGAAGATTCCCCTTCGGCTGGTTTCTTTATCCTAAAGTCCACCTTCGACTGGCATCCTTAAAATCCACCTTCGGCTGGTATCATTCGTTGAGAGTCCCCTTCGGCTGGTCTCTTTTCAGTTGTAAGTTCGCCTTTGACCAGCGTTCTTTTCTTAGGAATCTACCTTCAGCATAGTATTCCTTGATGAAGATTCCCCTTCGGCTAGTTTCTTTATCCTAAAGTCCACCTTCGGCTGGCATCCTTAAAATCCACCTTCGGCTGGTATCATTTGTTTAGAGTCCCCTTTGGCTGGTCTTTTTTCTCAGTAAATTCTCCTTCAATTGGTGTTCCTTCGTCAGAGTCTTCTTCGGCCAGTCTCTTTCTTGGGTATGTCTAACTTTGACCTGACATCCAAGAGATTTACTCAGCGGACTACTGCAATATAATAAAAAATAATAATAACAGAAAATACAGAAAACAAAAGAATATAATAATACCTGACTGACTTCAGAGCACAAATTTCCGGGTTCTTTTAAGTATTTAATCTTATTTTACCTTGAAGGTTCGAAAGGCTGGCGCCAATCTCACCTTCAGGTCTAAGGCGATTAAATAGGGGCAGCTGTTGCACCCCAAAATTTGCCCTCCTAATTTCTTCTATCTGGCTTAGACTATCGCATTCATCTGTATATATTCCATTAGGTCATTAACATACATTTGCATTCAATAAAGCGCTTGAGGTTCGAAGTTTAGTGGTTGCGCGATATTAGGGCTTTGCAGCAGTTAAGGTGTTCATATCCGATAAAGTCTGATTCTTCTGATCATCCTTCAAGCAGTGAAATATGGAATTAAGGTTGCAACCTATGTTTATTGAGGGTTCCGTTCTCTTCAAGGTAAGAGAGTTATTACTCATTCAAGACAAGAGTCAGAATGTTTCTCCACCAAGTTTGTGCTTGACAACATTTCATCAATCGAGGTTCATTAGGTTTTCTAAGTCATGGCCATCTTGGTCATATTTCTTTCTGTATCCCCATGTTCATTTCCAAGTTGTTCTACAAGGTCATCTAAGAGCTACTAAATCAAGCATTCATTATCTTTTTGTGCTCAATGTCATCCTTTGATTAGGGTTTCTTTCCCTATGCTTGGGTTTGTCGGATGAATTTGGCAGGGCTAATAGTCAAAGGTTCTTCATCAATGACTAGTTAGGGTTTTCTTTCGACCTTTCTCTGTAAATCGAAAGGGGGAACTTATTACTTAAGTCATAAGCTATGTGATCGGAAACTTCATACAGAAGACAAATGTGGATATACTGGTGCCCATTTTACCATTTGATCTTTGTTTATCATTGATTCAAATAAATTCTTTCATTTATCTATAATGCTTGAGGATCAAGATGTTACATTGCTTAGGCCATACAAGTTATCTCTTTGGTTCCCACACAAGGCTTTGAGGTGAACGTAGTGTATTGGGTCATAGTTGCATCCAAGGTTTTGACAATATCTTACTTGAGTTCTTTTGATTGACTAAGAGTACCCAATCTCATGATGTGTTATATTAAAGGATGCAATTTGAAGCAAAATTTGAAAGGTTAAAAGAAGCTTTTGGAGGGAAAGAAAGATTCAAGTCATATTTCATCCCCAAGATACCAAGTATCACAAAACTCGTCCGAGAGATATTGAAGAATCCAAATGAAATACAACAATATGAAAGCGAGGTTCAAGATTGAAAATTGGATAAAATATTAGATGCTTGAAGATTAATTCAAATTAAAACATAATGGAGGGAAATTCAAACTTTATCATTTTTTAAAAGAAGTCATATTCCCCAATATGAATCAAAGCTATACTCCAAATCCAATTTCAATTATCATTTCAATACTTTTAAGATCAAAGTCTAAAGTTTCATATGGAAGGTTCGGGTTATGGACTAAGTACATGAAGGCATCTAAGCATGTATTCACTCAAGTTGATTTAAAGAATCTTAGATTCGTTTATTTGAAAATATTTAAGCAAGAGAGTTCATTCAAATTGATAGAATGCGAGACATTGAGATTTCACGAACATAAAGTCAAAGAAGTACTTGGGATACCAAACCCAAAAAGAAAGGAAAGCATTTCATTCATGAGAAACTCAAAATCAAATGGAAAGAAAATAGTTTGAATACTTGATAATTTGTCATTTGATTCAAGATTTCCCAAAGTTACATTTTATTCAAAGAACATATTGCATTACCTTGGTTTGAAGTGAATTACAAGCTCAAAGTCATTTATAATTCAAACTATAAATTTCAAGTTCATCCAAATCAAACATTCATTATAAAATCATTACAATCACATTGCACCAATAATCCATAAAGAAAAAAACTATTACAAAATGCACTTAAACGAAATTCCTTAGTCCTAAAGGTGCTAAAATTCCATGAGCAAACTTCCAAGTCCATGCCATGCCAAAGTTCTCCATCTTCATATATTCTTCAATCTTCATGCCCCTTCAACCGAACAACCAATATTTCCAATTTGCTTTGAGCGATTAGATCAAGACACAAATGGAGTTCTTACAACCATATGCAATCATTCTTTCCATTGTTCCTGTATTTCAAAATGGGCAGATTCTTCTTGTCTGGTATGCCGCTAGTTGCCAATATTACCTGCATCCACAAATAACCAAATGTTGGACTTCATGTCAAAACCACAAATTGCGTCCATGTGCTACCCTTGTTCCTGCGTTACTGCCCTGTATAAACAGAAAGAACTACCTTGCATATATCATAGAAAAAAACAGAAAACGCAACAGTCCGATTAATTAAACTCCAACTTGAACCATGAAATTTGGAAAGAGTGCGGATATTTAGCAGGAAAATTATTGACAGCACTCACAGTTGGCAGGAAACAGCAGTGTGTTTCATTAATCGGTTGATGGATGAGTACTCAGCATGTGATGACATTATTCAACCAATTCAAGTTGCTGTGTATAAGATGAAATTTGGGTTATCACTGGTTCTGTCAAAGCACGTTAGAAAAAGAATATTTGAGAAAAGTTGGACATAAAAAAAAACATCAACCTGGTTATGGAAACGATATATGTACTTATGCGCTTCCCCCGAGCTGCTTCATGCAAGTTCATTTTTGTCGAGTATGTTGGGTTAGAATTGCATCCGTCATACAGGCCTGATTTTGGGACAGACTTTTATTTGAATGTGGGTTTGATAGAGCTACCATCTACTGGAACATTCTTGTTCCAATTGCATATTCTACAGCAAATGAAAAAATAAGTGACTGTAAATCTTATATGCTTTTGCAAAGAATCTTTGACGAGTTTTCCAGCCTTCGGATGAAAATGAAAGTTGATGCTAAATCAAAAAGCGATTATGATGTTCAACAACAGTTCAAGTTTAAGTCTCGAGAATTCCAAATTGAGAGTATTATTGAGGTTGAAATACTAGCTCTTGCAAATTCAAAGTGCAGCTGAAGCATTTTCCGAATGGAAAGAATTTTCATTTGAAGAAAAATCCAACTGACTTGTAACCAATTAACAAGAAACTCAAACAGAACTTAACAAACTTCCTCCAACCTCCAAACTATTTTCCTAAGCCAATTTCTATAACCTACTGTAACAGAATCTCTAACTTCCCTAACTAATTCCAACTGCATTTTCTAACAAAGTCCTAACCATCGAAAATCAGTAAAAAAAAAGCTAACTTCCAGTCCAAAAAAAAACAGTCTCTAACAGCTTACTAACAACCTAATAACAGAATTCCGTAACCTCTAACAAACTTCATAACTAACTTAACCAACTCCTAACAGATTCATAAACAAACCTATAACCATTCTAACTAACTTTCCATAACCCATTCAGTATATAATAGAAGATGCAAGGTGAGGCAGGGAGGAGGATCCAGTTTCAGATTTACAATCAGGATTCATTACACAAAAATAGAAAACATCACAAAATACTCACATCTGAATATCTCTGGGATTCTCTAAATAGTTCTCATCTTCATCTTCAACCTTCACTTTTCTCACTCTGAATCCCGCTTCAGCTTCATCTCTTTGAACTTCCCTCACCATTGAACCATCATACTCATGGCTCTTCAACCTCGTGCTTGTCCTCATTACAACCACCAACTCAAACTCACCCTGGTTTTCTCTGTTCAGTTCCCAACACCGAGTCACAACCTCATCCCTACAGAATCGTAACAAGCTAATAGAAGAAGCAGAAGAAGGTATCACCAAAAAAATTCTAACAGATTACAAATTTTGATATATCTGAGATTGCATTATTGGTGGAAATTGGGGGAAGAATCATAAAAATCTTCAATCTTCTTTGCAATCTCTCTCTCGGCTTTAGTCTTCAACCGCTTTCATCTTCCCCTTTTTCTCGGAACTGTATCAGCAACTTCTCATTTATCTTCACTCTCTCTGCAATCTTCATGCATAACTCACTATCTTCATCTTTCGTTCTTCAACCTACTTCAACAATATCATCAATCTTCATCATCAATGCTGCATCAACAACATCATTACGATTCAACCGTCAATTGTCATCACATCACACAACAAATTCCAGATTGCACAAAATGAAAAACAAAATAAGAAGAGACGAAGAATGAAACTGAAGAAGCATGAGATTAAAGCGATACCTGGATTTAACTCTAGAATTCCCCTTTTCCTCGACAGTGTGAATCAGGCTCCGAACTTTCTCCGGTCGATTCAGAGTAGAGGCGGAGACAAAAATTGAATTCGAGAAGATTTTAGAGGAAGCTAAAGGTCGAATGGAGACATTGAGATGGTGGCGGTTCACTGCAAGGTTGAATCGGAAGAGAATAAGAGATGCACCGTCTAAGAGGAAGTGGGTTCTCTATGAACAGGGATCCGAAGCAAGAATCGCGGACATCGTGACCCTAGCGTCTCATATCAAAACGCACGGTGTTTTTATATTTTTATTATATTTCACAAGTTTTTTATATTATTTTTATTATGATAAAAAAGGATGATAGTGAATCTGGTGAAGGAGTGGGCCAAACCGTGAATTCCTTAGGCCCACTCGTTGTTTTTCTATTGAATTTAGCTGAACAAAAAGGCTTAGTGGACTGTGGTTTGGGCTTAGCACTATTCCTTTCAATACTCCTTGTGCCAACTTCCCACCTCCCTGATTCCTCTATTTTCTTTGTTAAATTTAAGACTTTATTTTTTTTAGTGATAAAAATTATACAAAAATGATTAAGACATTTTAGAATTCTTTAGAACCGCTCTTTAGAATTTTTACAAGAATTTTCTATCATTTTCATGTTTTGATAATCTTTTTTTGTTGTCATTTGTTTTAGCCAAGATTTTATGATATTATATTGATATAACTTTCGCAATATGGAATGCTTGGAGGCTAATTCTTTGATCACTCGCGCGGAGCAGCTTTTGACAGAGTTTTCTTACCGCTTGTGCAGTTTCGAAGAAGCAACGGACTTTCTCCACTCGGTATCATTGTGACTTCGTTTTATTCCTCATTCTCACACTTTACTGCTTATCTAGAAATCATGAGAAACCGGGCTTTACCGCAAACCATATGCATGCTAACATTAGGTAGATTTCCCACAAAATTCTAACTTTACGTCTAACAACGCAGGATAAAATTAGGTTTAGAAATAGGCTAGTCTCCCTGTGACTTTTCTTTCCCTTTTTGCATATGCATCGAAAGCTAAAACTCATTTTTTCTTTCAAAATTAAAAAAAAAACTTTAAAACTATTGATGAGAATCATGCCTTTGCTTAGCATGGGAAATGATAAGCGGGTCCCTTCTCGATCTTATTGTTCTTCATCTCAAGTCTAGGTGTGGTTCAATTCTCAAAAACTCCTTTCATGGCTAAGTAGAGAAATGGCTAATATCTCTCTCTTGAGATTAAATAGCTATTATCTACAAGCAAAAACACAAACACAAAAACTCTTGTTGCCTTTGGGCTTTCCTTCCAAATATTTTCAAAAGAACAAGTTAATTCACTTCTGTGCTGACGCATAAGTCTCTGAATGTCGAGTTGCGGCAGAAGGTGAAATTAAAATCGTTCATTTAAAACACAACCAAATTCGAACTTTTTGTGCGCCCAAGCACATTTTCTCCAAAACCTTTTCGAAAGAACATGTTAATTCACTTATGTGCTGACGCGTAAGTCTCCAAAGGTCGAGTTGCGGCAGAAGGCGAAATTAATACTGTTTATTAAAAAAATACAAACCAACAAAAACATATAAGCCGAACTAAGGCTGCTCTGATTCCTTAAAAGGGATACGTAGACATTGGGGTAGGGCCCAAGCGAGCACAATTTTATTTTCCCTACATTCTTTTCCCCTTTCTTTTGCATGCATTCTCCCTTCAGCAGTATAATAAACAATAAGCATAGATTAAACACACCCACAAGATAGACAACAAGAGTGGATACCATAGAGTACTACAGACGTGTGGGGTGCTAATACCTTCCCCTCGCGTAACAGACTCCCTTACCCTTATCTCTTGGTCGTTCAACCTTGATTTCACCCTTCTCAGGTTTACTCGATGTTTACCTTTCCCTTCCTGTGGGATAAAATACGTTCGATGGCGACTTCATTATTTGATGATTTTCAGCCAGTTGTTTCAACCGTACTCAACAATATGTCTGAAGCATTCAACAGTGTGATCCTTGAGTCAAGATCCAAGCCTTTAGTAACAATGCTGGAAGAGATCATGTATTATTTTATGGAGAGGTGGGAAACCAACATAATGAGGTTTCATAATTTTCCTGATGATGCAGTGCTACCAAACATAAGAAAGCAAATGGAGAAAATAAGTATCCAAACTAACACATGGATTGTTAGGTAAACAACATTTAGTCTATCTAAATTCAAACTGTTTGTTGTATTATGTAATCTAAAACTGCATGTTATGTTATTTAGGATGTCTGTTGAACATATTTTTGAAGTTAAGAATGTACATGATCCAGCTGAGATGTTCAATGTGAACTTAAAGGATAACTTATGCTCATGTAGGTGGTGGGAACTAGCTGGTTTGTCACGTGTTCATGATTTATCATGTATGAAGAGTAGGAACTTTAAATTTGAAGACTACATTCCTAAGTACTATAGACAAAGTAGGTACGAGGTAGTATACAAACCAATTATTTATCCTGTTAATGGTTCAAACTTATAGGAAAGGACACGGTATCCAGATGTTCATCCTCCAAAGTACAGAAAGATGCTTGGTAAATCAAAGAAGAAGAGAAATCTTGAACAAGGAGAGCTTGATGGCCCTGGCAAAAAAATAAGGAGAATAAGGCTAATTGTGAGGTGCAGTAGATGCAAGAAGTCAGGGAACAACAAATCCACATGTAAGGTTATAGGGCCTGCACAAGCTGCACCAACTACTGCACAATCTTCACAGCAGAATGCACCACCTCAAGCTCAATCTTCATGTAATACAATGTGAGAACTGACTTTTTTAGCATTTTATCGCAAATGTTGTGGATAGCAAGAGTCTCCACCGACTTTTATTTTATCCAATAAAGAAAGGGTGAAAATAACAGGAAAGGCCTTGATAGATTTTGAGTTCGGGGGGTAAGTTATGAAAAGGGAAGGTGTTAGCATCCTTTTCATCCGTAGTTATCTACGGGATCTTAA